ACCAGTTACTGAATACCATCATACTGTTCTTTGTGTTAAGATAACCACATAATTCACATGAGGTCAACTAACACACGTGACCTATGACCTCTGACCCACATGTCAATAGGGTCCTTCTACTCCCTATAAATAAAGAGGCTATGTAATGTATTAGTCAATGTGTCACAACTCAAGCTAACCTAACCTAACCTAACCTAACCAAGACAATAACATACCCCATACAGAGACAAATACAGAATGAACAACAAATAACATAAAAACACAAATAAAGTCATAATAGAAAGTAAAAAAAATACTGAAACAAAAACAATAACATACAACATACAAAAGCAACATAAAACACACAACAACAACAACAACAACAACAACAACAACATGGTCAGGAGTAACAACAGTGCCCCCTCCGGCTTACGACTAGCTGAAGGGGTAAACAATTATCATCAACCTGAGGAGTAGTTACATTCCACTTCTTGCTTACCTTAATAATAATAATAATAATAATAATAATAATAATAATAATAATGACAATAATAATAATAATAATAATAATAATAATAATAATAATAATAATAATAATAATAATAATAATAATAATAATAATAATAATAATAATAATAACAATAATAATAATAATAATAATAAAGTAAAGAAAAATAATAATACTAAATAAAATATATAAACTTTACTACATAAAATAGTTAACGACACAGGAATAAACTTTGAACTATAAATGAAGTAATAAATGAAGAAATAGTTACATAAGTGGGTTAAGTAATGTCTACATGTATTCCCAGTGTTAAGTTAGAGCACCACTACTTTATGACCACACGAGAGGAGTTACTTTACCAAAACTTTTATAATTATACTACAAATTAAGTCACAGATAATGAACTACAGTGTAATATAATTTCACGATTGGATAATAATTAAAAGACTAAAAACATGTGAAAAAATAATAATTAAAAATTTGTAACTGATGAATTCAACCTAATGAGTTAATTAAATGATTTTTTATAATAACAAATTAACTTAATCTCCCACAGGTGATAACATAAGGTAAATTGGACAATACTGAATAATTAACAAATCCAGAATAAATATAACATGAACCTTTTTAACCAATAATGTGAAAACTCTAACAGCTGACAGTTTCAACATTGATGACGTCTCAGTGTGAAACTTCATTCCAAAATTAGTGACGAAAGTGAATGGCCATCAGCTGAAAGATCATTTTTGTCTAGAACCAGAAGGCTTTAGCAGTCTCACCTCCTGATATATGAACGGAAACATTATTCTGATCTTTATATATGAGTTTGTTCTTGACACATTAAAAAAAATACTTGTGTTATTAAGTTTACAATCGCTAGTTTGTTTTATCTTTAAGCCTTAACGAGGGATCAAGGTTAAAAGATTAAAAAAAAAAAACATGAATTTTAAACAATGTCCTTCAGGAAAATAATCTGTGTGAGTGACTCAAGGTGAACATAATCAACATCCTCGAATCTATAGAGTTTTCCTCCAAGTAATAACTCAAGGACGACTCGATTGATCACTGTGTTTGTTCTCGTACATGACGGTGACGAAGGTGCTTCAGGCCGTCACCAACACTGAACACTGATCTATCATTGTTGAATTTCTATATCTCTCTCACTATGGCAGGCAAAACATATAAGAACAAAGTCCTGATATCCTACAGGCAGGTGTGGCTGGAAGGACCCTATACACCAAACCAACAATGGGCCCTGGATATTAACAGTTAGCATTAGTCACTCACCCTAAATTGCTCTGGACAACAAAATCTTAATCAAAGTTTTGCCGCTTCTGTGATGTATTGAATTATTTAATGAAAAAAAGGTAAAAATTAATATCACCACAACGTTTACGACTCTCACTTCACTGGATGATATAAAATCGGGTTTAACTTATTGTATTTGGTATTCGTGAAACAAATTTGATATAGTTACAAAATATGGCAGAAATAATGCTAAAATTCACACGCATATGGTTGTTGTTAAGTTATTGATTCAGTTTTTACACAAACTTGCGTCGCTCTTCACACCTTTAACCCCTTATGAACCACAAAGACCAAGACACTGTGATCATGGAAGTGGTTTACAAATGGGATGCAGCAGGATGGGGGGGGGGGGCAGGATACCAGGAGGGAGATGGGCAGGATATCATGGAGGAAGGGGGATAACATGGTCTTGGTGTTTCGTGGTTAACAGTCCTCAACAATCACTCATCAACGATATAATTCCAACTCTTCCTCAGATAATACCTATAGAAACCCTTTACAGCTACAAAAAATAATGAATATTGTTTATAGTACCAAATCTCACTCATAGATGGCGGTCATACCTACCATAATAAGAATGTACACACGGAAGAAGTGTATAAACAGTATATGAACAGCCAGTACACTTTGCACTCGCATGACTAAAGTGAGGCGAGTCTCGGCTCTTATCACGGTATTTCCCTCATGAAGTCTCAGATAGTCTCGGAAATTTGTTAAGATGATATTGCAACACGGAAGTAAGTGCACAATCAGTCATCATTTTAGGTAAGTGGAGATGAAAGACAATGCATGTGAAAGTGTATGATGATATAACTGTACTATACAATGTTATGTTATTCTAATATTTTGTTATACCGTATTTGTGTACTAATAGGTTGAAACTACTACTACTACTACTAAAACTATCAAACTGTCATTGACTAACTGTTTTACTACTACTACTTTTTTTTTTTAGCGTGGCCTCCAGCCTCCCCCAATGGCCACACCTTCGCCGCCATTTTATTACCTTAATATTAAATATCCTAATACATGAGTAGCTATCCTATCTGTGTTGAATTAGTTGAGCCGCAGATCTATGCGGCATTCAGTGACTGTAGCCTCATAGTCGATATCTGCAGCAGTTGTCGGCATTGGGGCAGAAGCTCTCGTTCCCCTGAGGTAGAGCAAAGCCGACCGAAGGAGAGAGAAAGACAGTCGACATCTCATCCAGGCGAACTTCTGGGCTGCTGCTTCTGTTCGGAGATCACCTCCGCGAGTCTGGCGTAGAAACATCTTGCACTTGGGCCCATCCCACCAGAGGTTGTGAACACTAGAGGAGTGAAGCTGCCTTGATCAACGTTTTGAATTCTCTCCCCATATGCCCTTTCTTGTCGTTCTCGTTCCTCCTGTGTGCAGCATCGAGAGCTAGGTTACGGTGACATGCGGCCATGGGATCAAAAATCCTGATGTCGAAGAAAGCTCGCTGTCCCCGCGTCCAGAATCCTCGAGCACTGATGTCAACACGGGCTTCGTTAGATGTGTTTGAAGTCCTATGTTGGAAGATCTCACCATCCAATGGAAGGAGGGTCGGTTCTACCATGACATCACGGCAGATTTCCTTCAACATATTTGCTGTGAGGTCCCTTACTTCGTCATGCCTCATGCATATGAAGCTCCCTTTCTTGCACACCATGGCGTACTACTACTACTACTACTACTACTACTACTACTACTACTACTACTACTACTACTACTACTACTACTAATAATAATAATAATAATAATAATAATAATAATAATAATAATAATAATAATAATAATAAACAAATATTAGACAATAAAAATAATACTAACAATAATCGCAAAATTTGATGATAATAAAAAAAAAAACAAGAACAGAAAAAACAAAAACAAAAATAACAACAGAGAAAAGTCAATAAAAAAACGCCAACAGTAATAACAACGGTGTTAATAGAGGTGAACAAGCAACAGTAAGACAATATAACAACAGAAACAACAGTATTCAAATCATCAACAAGTCTCCTTAACAGATATGACCAATAACCGGAATAACAACCAAAACAAGAAAAAACCCACAATAATAACATCAATAACATCAACAAAACATCACTAGACTAATAATAACAATAACACCGCCACCATCATGGACAACAGAAGACAAACAGAAGAAGAAATAACAACGGTAACAGATGATACAAACAGTGAAACAGAAAATACGAAAAAATAAACAATTGTAACCTGACCCGTTCCCCTAAAAACAGGTACAGTACAACAGACATCAATAACACCCATCCATAAGCAACAGAACTAACAGAAACAAACGGTTATACATCAATCTATTGCTATCACATAAAAACAGAAAATAATAATCACCTTTCACCTGAACTAACTGGTAATTAATGACATCCTTCCCTAACTGATGACTAAACTAATTATTATTCTTTATGTTCTGACCACATCTACGGTTATTACACTAAGTAATTAAGACTTGTGACTATCTTAGACAATTGACCTTTATTTGACCTTATTAGGGTAACCTGGCCTATGTCTCACTGTTGCTAGGATGAAAGTCTTGAACCCCTAGCCTAGGAAAGGGACGACAGTATACCCATTACCCATGTTAAAGGTCATGTGAGGTTGACAGGCCACTTGAGGTCATCCTGGCTGACCCTTGCTTGTTTACTAGATGGAGCAGAATAAAGTTATAGTCGTTAGGAAAGACAGAATAGACCTAAGAATTGCTAGGTGGGGCAGAATAGAGGTAAGAGTTGCTAGATGGGGCAAAATATAGCTAACAGTTGCTTGTAGGGGGAAATTAGTGTTGCTAGGTGAGGCTTGGCTATGACTGGGGCAGGAGGGATACAGGTGGGCGGGACTTGGAGGCGCATGGGGGCACTGGGTGGCTAGCTGGGGTAGTTAGGTGAGCCGCGTAAGGGCTGGGCGGAACGGGGCGCGGCAGGACTCACCCAGAAGTTTCGCCCCGGGGTACAGACGCTCACCATAGAGGATGACACCCGTAGAAGCTCTCATGTGTGTGTCGTAAAGGAAGGTGCGTAGGGGAGGGAGGGGGGAGGGAAGGAGGGAGGAAAGTCAGGAGGGAGGAGGGTGTCAGCCGTCAGTGAAAGTGTTGACCAGGAGGGGGGAGACTGCGCATGCGCTGTTCAGAGGCCAGTATATAGCGTGGTCGAGATGGGGCGGACTCTGGAGTAGGGACTGTCCAGACCAACACCACCACAAAATGGCCAGCGCGTTACTTGTATGGGGTGCAGTAGCAGTAGGCATCGGTGAGTGTGACCTCGTGACCTTGTGACCTCCGCGCGGCAGTGCCAAAGCCAACCTGACCTTTATTCTTACCTCACCTCTTTTCCTCACTCTCCCGTCCCCGCCCACTGACCTCAGCCGACCCTTAACCTGCCTTCCCTCCCCCTCCCTCCTACCTCCTCCCCCTACCCCTTTATGACCAGTTTTTGCGAGGTGTCACCACCCACCTACCCTAATCCACCCACCACCTAGTGCCCCGCCCATCAACAACCATCGCCTAGTGTGTGTGTGTGTGTGTGTGTGTGTGTGTGTGCATAGTGATGTAACATAACACACTCGTTTTGATAAATGCAAAGTGAAGACAAAAACTAATTACCATAAGTGCCTCGAAGGAATTATTTTTTTTGTGACATCGAAAATTAAAACAGTGAATAAGACGTGTTAGATATGGCTGTCACTCAACCAGGAGATAAGGCCGTATAGAGAAATGTAAAGGGTGATGTATAAATGAAGAAAATAATTCACCAATACGAAAACTTGGAATATTTGATAATAATACGTGGTCACTCTGAACGACTGACTGGCTTGTAGACGTAGGATGAAATAATAGCATACCTCATACAGTATACCATAATACAGTATAATTATGTAACTTACTACAGGCAGCATACCACGTGTACTATACCACATATAAAATACTCCAAACCACATCCAACATACCGAACACGGCATACCACATATAGCATACCACACATAAATCAAACCACATATAACACTCCACATATCGTATACTAGCATACAGGCACTTGGGGGATTATACTCACCTCTGAAAATAAAAACCATCAGAAAGTCGTATATTTTCATACTTTGATACACAACATCTAGTTCCCATACTTTGATATTCTAACACAAACCGATGTATTTCCTTTGGTTTAAAATTAAAATAACCTTTTTTGATATTTTTAGTACATGAAAAATATTAGCCAATTATTCTGATATTTTTAGTTCCACTTGAAAAATACTCAAGTAGTCGAATATTCTTTGGGGTCGACATGAAATATAAACACTTCCTTTGTCGTCTTTAGCTCGACATCAAATATAAAGTCACGCAGTTTGGCCGTAAATAGTTTTGTCGTGAAAGTTTGGGGACGTGTGAGCTTGAACCAGGAAATGAAGCCAGTGTGGACGACATCTGGACACGCACACACAGTACTGATTCTTATTAAATAATGACCTAAAACAACCACTCTAATTAGACAGTGACGTCATTACCCTTGATTCTAATTTTATTTGTTTAGAAAAATAATTTGAAAAAAAAAACGGAAATTTAAATATAAATCATAAATTTTTTCTGTAAAATTTTCGATATATCATTTTTTGTTAATTAGGTTCAATATTTAAAAGTTTACTAAGGAACCAAGGCAAAAAGAATTCAATACTTTAGACTTGTTGATAAGGCGGTAACGCGTACAGGGGGTGACCCATATAGGCCTAACGAGTGAGATGATTTATATAGGCCTATACACAGGGATGACCTACATAGACTGAATACATTATGGTTTAGGTTTAAGGCCGGGGAGCAGGCATAGGTAGGGTGAGAATAAACGTCGAATGGAGAAGAGAAAAGAGGAAGAGTGGAAGAGTGAATGGAGAGGTGATAAAGGAGGAAGAGGATAATAATTAAATGGGATAATGGCAGGGACAATAGGGGATAGGTGAGTAGGTTAGGTTAGGTGGATGGGTAAGGAGAGAAAAGATTGATCTTAACCTTCTACATATGGCTCCTACCTGAGGATATGCCATATACCTGTGACGCTAATGGGGTTTTGGTGTAACTGTTTTTTTCGTCTTTTTTTGTGTGTAGGAGGGGGGTGGAGGGGTGGTTTTGTGTTTGTGTTTGTTAATGATTTTTTTTTCTTATTGGGTTACTGGTATTATTCATATTGAAGTTTAATTATATATTATAAATTACAGTTTATTTATACATTCTTATATATATTTATAGATGTATGTATAAGCGCATGAAATCTCTTTCTCTCTCTCTCTCCTCTCTCTATCTCTCCTTCTCTCTCTCACTCTTTCTCAAGCTGTCTTTCTCGTTCATTCTCTCTCTCTCTCTATCACTCACCGCCCATCGTTCGGTCACACGCCCCCCCCCCCACCCCCCACACACAGTCTTTTGTGTTATGAACAGAATCAGAAAGCTGTAGAGAGACTGCTCACTCACTTAATCACCCACCGTGAGAAAGTGATCAACCACACCCACAAAAACTGTCACGCTAGCTTAACAGTGTGTCACCTTATGGGGTGTAGCGTGAGACATGTAGGTCACCCTCTGAGACATGCTGAGAGTGAGACATCTCGGTCATCCTCTGAGACATGCTGAGAGTGAGACATGTAGGTCACCCTCTAAGACATGCTGAGAGTGAGACATGTAGGTCACCCTCTAAGACATGCTGAGAGTGAGACATGTCGGTCACCCTCTAAGACATGCTGAGAGTGAGACATGTAGGTCACCCTCTAAGACATGCTGAGAGTGAGACATGTCGGTCACCCTCTAAGACATGCTGAGAGTGAGACATGTAGGTCACCCTCTAAGACATGCTGAGAGTGAGACATGTCGGTCATCCTCTGAGACTCGAGTTTAATGTGAGACATGCTGGAAAAGACACACATTAACCAGCCACTGAGACATTACATGAGATCCTTAGAATGAGACATATTCATCAACCTCTAAAACATTCTAAAGCTATAAGACATACAAAGAATGAGACATACAGAGCCGCAAAGAAATACTACTAAAATTGGGAAACAGAGAGACATATTTATCACCTACTGAGACATGTCAAAAAATAGGAGACTGAAACATATCAGCCACAGACATAGTAACTAAATATTTTCCAACGAACTTGAACACAAAAAAATAATCACAAAACTAAGAAAAAATACTGATTAGACATGAATTTAACACAAGAATGACTTTATAGTATTGCAAAATTGACTGTGTGTTGCATAGATGTTGCGAGAATTTTTTTTTTGTCCTATAGGTGAAATAAGTTTTGAATGATGAATGAACGAAAAAAAACCCCGAATTACTAATTGGTGAAAATTAAAAAATTACCCATAATAAATCAAGGTAAGAAGGAAGGAGAGATAATGAACGTAGAGAAGGAAATGCAATAAATCAAGGAGATGGGCGTAATACAAATAACTAATAAACCTCGATTATTTTTTTTCTTTTCTTAGTTTTGCAAATTTCATGACCTTCCCATGAACTCAAAATTTCCATCTTGAGTACAATGTCATCACTTTGAGTACAATGAATTAGGCTATTGTGTAATTTTTTTTATTCCCTTGAGTACGATGCTAACCACATAAGTCATCGTACTCATGGGGTTCCGTTACCGTATGTCATCGTACTCAAAGGGTTAAGTTATCGTACTCAATGTTTTTTTCACTGTATTCAAAGGGTAAAGTTATCACACTCAATGTTTATGTTCTCGTACCTAAAAGCTTAAAGTATCGTACTCAAAGGTTTGTTACCGTACTCAAAGGGCTAAGTTATTGTACTCAATGTTTATGTTATCGTACTTAAAAGTTTAAATTATCATACTCAAAGGTTGATGTCATCGTATTCAAAGGTTTGTTACCGTACTCAAAGGACTAAGTTATTGTACTCAATGTTTATGTTTTCGTACCTAAAAGTTTAAAGTATCGTACTCAAAGGTTTGTTACCGTACTCAAAGGGCTAAGTTATTGTACTCAATGTTTGTTATCGTACTTAAAAGTTTAAATTATCATACTCAAAGGTTGATGTAATCGTACTCAAAGGTTCATGTCATCGTACTCAAGGGTAGTCTTAATCGTACTCAAGAGTTCATGTCATCGTACTCAGGGTTAATCATCATCGTACTCAAAGGTTCAATATCATCGTACTCAAGGATTAAAAAAAAATTGTGGAAAGCAAACGAGAAAAACAGTAGACACTTATTGACCAAGTTTTCATCACCCATTACCGCCCCCCCCTTCCCCGGACCATGACCACAAGAGAGCAGCTTTATGGGGAAACTTTACATACAATTTCGTCATTTTGGCGTAACGTGTGGTCACTTCTGGTTACGCCACTGAGCTACAATGTGACACAGTGTCCAGCCGGCGTAGCGTAGAGTATGGTTTGTACCCGCCCTCCCTCCTCCTCTCCACCTGGACTGATGAAATTTGGAGCCCATTCAGCATAACGCACGACGCCCTCTCATTCAAACACTATATACGCATTTTGTAGTGAGAGATAGACTGGCGTATTCCTCAGCAGTGTTCCAGTCATAAGGTGTAATTAACAAAAGCTCTTTATGTAGTTCTAAAGGGGAAGGGTCATTAGACACGAGGGTGGAGGGGACGTTGTTGAAATGTAAACAAAGGTTCCGTTTATACACTGAGTTAACTAAAGTCTCTTAAAAAACTGAGAAATGAAAATAAATTGTCATGGGATGGGACAAAACATAGACGGTGTTCTTGAGGAAACAGTTGTTACTAGTATTGGAAAAGGAGAATGATGATACAACTTTAATCTGTGTCAATCTTCTGCTGGTTTTAGCCTTTTCTTCCTTTCCTTTCCTTCCCTCTCTCTTTTCCTCTCCTTCCCTCTCTCTCTCTTCCTTTCCTTCCCTCTCTCTCTCTTCCTCTCCTTTCCTCTCTCGCATCCTCTACTTTCCTCCCTCTCTTCCTCTACTTTCCTCCCTCTCTCCACCTCTTCTTCCCCTCCTCTTTTCATCCCCTTTCATTACCCATTTTCTCTCCTCCTCCTATCACCCCCCCCCCCTCATTTAACCACTTCCTATATTTGATCATATCTGGGCAACATAATATATACGTGGGGAAGGGAAAGAGGATCACACACACACACACACACACACACAAACATTTTCTTCTTCATCTTCTTATCTCTCTCTCTCTTTCTCTCTCTCTCTCTCTCTCTCTCTCTCTCATTCTCTGTCCCTTTTCCTGCATCATTTCTTTGTTAATC